AAAAAAAGCAGTCTGTAAGCTGCTCAAGGTATTTACAAAAAGTTACTGTTGTGAAGAGAGAAAGAAACATTGCTTTCCTTCACAAGTACTTGAGAGACTGTGTTATGACAATTTAGGATTTATAAGCACGTAGACAGAAAGAACTTGCTGTTGGCCCTCAGTGGATCTTATCTGGCCTTAATGTATTTTACTGAACCCTAGGTTTCCTCATAGATGATATTCCTCTGGTTTGTTCAGCTTCACCCTGAAATATATTTTATTAGAACTCAACTGCTTGTGGTGTATATATTGGTGTTCTCTGATAGCTTTCAAAATTTGCCTCTATTTCTTTTTCCTTAGGGGGCACTTTCTCTATAAACCCAAGGCTTGTGTCTTGCAAATGCTTGTTTTCTCAGGCATTAAAGATCACTTAACTCCTTTGTATTCTTGATGGCTAGTAAAGCTCTAAATTTTGAAGAAGATATTTTCAGAAAATTTGTCAGGAAAATCATTTGCAGATTTGCACACTGATGTTAAGCTTTATTCATATAGATTTCTCAGTCTATAATGTGTTCAAATGGCTGTCCCAGAACAAAGGCGATGCTTTTAATATTGAGGCCTTTGATCTCTTCTGCATGCTAATTATCAGTTTTGGCTTTCATTATGCTGTTCCTTTTATTTTGCTAGTGGATGTTTTCCTTTTTTTTTTTTTCCATTTTAGTTCTTTTACCTGGTATTTCATATTAATTTTTAGAAATGAGTTTTATGTGACTCAAGTATTACATTATTGTCATGCTAACTTGTACTCTTACATTATGCCTTGATATGATATTGTAAAATCAGCAGCAATAACCCCTCTCCATTACATCATTGTTATCCTATTATGCACAATAAATTTTTAATGTCTCTTGAAGGTACAGTCTTTTCTGCCAAAAACATTATTTCACGATTGCTTTCTCTCCATTTAGAATTGAATGGTGGGCACCTTATTGGAGATGAATACACAAAGAGTGACCACTACCTTTCTGTAAACCTTTCTCCCTAGAACAACGTGAATTGAAATGTTGGCTAAGGAGAAGAGAGCACAGGGAAAGGATAAGCCTTTCAGGAAAACCCTGTACAAAGCAGAGGAGGTCTTATTGGCAAGCATTGGAAGAAGTCATTCCTATGAAGTTATAAATACTTGAATCTAGTGACCACAGATGTTTGAAAAATAGTCAGAAAATGTAAATATTTGAAAGATGTTCATCTGTAACAACACTTCAGTGTCTGCACCTGGAAGCATTCTACAGAGAAAGACGGAAAGCAACTGGAAATAATTGTCATGTCTTTTCTTCTGAACGCAGGTCTGGTGTCCCAGACACTGATTGTACACAGTTCAAGGAAACCTCTGAGGAGAGGAGATGAAGAGTTGGGACTCAAAGTGTGCAGTAGGAAGATAGGGAGCAGAGACGCTTCCTCTTTGCCTTTAAATGAAGGCTCAAATTTGTGTGGAAGCAGGTCTGTCCTTATTTCAAACTTGGCTCCTGTGCTGCAATACCAACTCCTGCTCAGACCCCTTGGCCCTCTGTTAACATTGCATAACATTGCACTTACGTGCGGCTACCAACACTCTCCAAGCCTGGCTGCAAGACTCACCTGAAGCCTCTTTTCCTTATGGGTGGATCACAGTCTTTGGCTTTTCTCTTGCAGTTGAACTCCCTCAAAGGACAGTTATCTTGAACAACATTCTGTCATTATTTCATGTGTAGCTGCAGACCTGTCACCTATCATCTTGACATCTTACTGGTCTCATTAAACACATTCCAAGATTGATTTCCTTTACAATTTCTATGCTAGGGGTTTGTTTACTCCTGTAGGTATTAGTTAAAAGAGATCAATTCCACTGTACTGCATAGGGTAAGTTAACTAGGGAATAGAAAGACCCTCTTCTATCAGTATAAGCAGTTTGGTCACATGTGTTAGCCTTTTCCCCTTAATATGATGCCAGGACTTCAACAGCTGAGGTAGCGTTTCTGCAATAAAATTAAGGCAGTTTCAGTTTCTTTCTACATTTCTGCCTCCTGTTGCCTCTTCAAGCTGCAGACCCCTTGTTAACCAGCAAACTATCTCTGCGCCCCCTGGAAGTGTATTTGAGTGTCATTTTCAAATTTGTTCTCAGAGGCTTTGTACTAAAGAGAAAAGGTGGGAATGTTTTGGAAATCCTTTTAGTTCAATAAATTTAACTTTAAAGGTCAAAAGACTTCTTAATTCTCACTAAACTGTAGGGTTGCATTTTTGGAGGCACACTAACTATTCCGTTTATATCCCAGTTAGATGGTCTGCCATAAATTTCAGGAAAGACTTTTCAGCTGTTGTAACTTGAATGAACAATCACGAGTCTAAAATGCTTGTTTTCAGTTCTGCAGGACATAACCAAAGAAACAAACAGAAAATGAAAATGTAGCCTGTCCTTTCTGTATGTTTTGTATTTTTCTTCTTAAATCTTCACTCTATGTTTCTCATGTGCTCATTTTCTTGATTCCAGGCTCTGTATTTAGGTATTAATTTGTGATTATCCAGCATCCTTTTAATGAGTTAATTCCAAACAGTAACAATCCATTCACGCAACTGTTTGTCAATTGTGATATCCAAACTTGAATTTGGAGGCAGGTCCATGCCTCTGCATGCTTACACCTGTGTGGGTAACATACAGGTATGCGGTGTACCCTGGCAGCCAGGAGGGTCAACTGTGTCCTGGGGGCATCAGGCAAAACATTGCCAGCTGGTTGAGGGATGAGATTGTCCCGCTCTGCTCTGCACTGGGGCAGCCTCACCTTGAATATTGTGTGCAGTTTTGGGCACCACAATATAAGAAAGATATGAAGCTATTAGAGAGTGTCCGAAGGAAGGCAGTGAGGATGGTGAAGGGCCTTGAAGGGAGGCATGTGAGGAGTGGCTGAGGTCACTTGATCTGTTCAGCCTGGATGAGATTTATGGGAGACCTCACAGCAGTCTACAAGTTCCTTGTGAGGGGAAGAAGAGGGGTGGGCACTGATCTCTTCTCTGTGGTGACGAGTGACAGGACTCGAGGGAATGGCCTGAAGTTGTGTCAGGGGAGGTTTAGGTTGGATATTAGAAAGAGGTTCTTCACCCTTTGGTTGGGTACTGTAATAGGTTTCTGAGGGCAGTGGTCACAGCACCAAGGCTGACAGAGTTCAAGAAGCATTTGGATGATACTCTCAGGCACCTGGTGTGACTCGTGGGGATGATGCTGTGCAGGGCTAAGAGTTGGACTCAATGATCCTTGTGGGTCCCTTCCAACTCAGCACATTCTGTGATTCCATGATATCATACATCTGATGAAACTGGGACTTTGTTACTGACTAATGGAGAATGAGAGTGAAGTGTAACCAAACTGTCTACAATCCTTTACAGCTCTGCAGTTTTCCGCTGAGTAGGACTGTCATAATAATTGTTTCCCTACATTTTTTTTCCCATTAAAAAAGGGCAATTACTATCTGCATATGCCTGAGAAAATTTGGAAATTAACAGTAATACGAACAAGACATTACTTTTCCCTTCACAAACCTTACCTCATGCAGCCAGCTGAGAACACTGAGAGTGTGTTAGGTAATTGGCTTTCCTGCATCCTGTGTTTTTAATTGCCTGAGTATATAGTCAGCTCAAGGTACATTTCTTGTGTTCTAATGTACAGTTCTTGTGCTCTAATGAATTCTAACATAAAGGTTTATTTCCAGATGGATCAGCACTGGAAGAGCTTTTTGACTGTCTTACAAAAATAATTTAAATTAACACGTTGATACCAAAACCTTACCACACAAGAAATTAAACATAGAATTTATTATGTAATTGTGTGGTTATTTTATCTGAGGACATCAAGGTGGCTTTTGAAAAAAATGCAGCATTCCTTAGAGTTTCTTTGTATTATGGCACTAGGTTGACGTTAATTTGGGAGCTGTTAAAATTTAGATAAGGTTTGAGATACATCATTTCAGGGTGAAAAAAATCTCATTTAAACTTTCCATAGTTTTTCATTAACTCTTTGCATTTATTTATGACTTGAAAAAGAAAGTAAATGAAGCTCTTCTTGACACAGTGTTTTGGATTACGGACATCTACATGAATGTAATATGAAGAGTTTTTAAGCTGTGTCATTTCTCAGCTGAAAAAGCCCCATCTACTTGTGCTGTAATAATGAGTTCATAGAGTATACAGGAATGTTTCATTAATGTTGCTGCCAGAGTGAATAGGCGCAGTTTTGACATACAATCTGCAATCAGTATTTATAGAAGGTATAGAAACAAATTCGTATATTGGATGTTTTCTGGGTTTGCACCTGCCTCTGATGTGACCTTGACTATGTCATTTAACTTGTACATGCAGCTGTTTTTCCACTTGTAAAGAGAGATAATAATGGTTTCCTTCAAGTGGAGGTTACAAAGTTTGTATAGGACTCAAGCTCTTGAGGAGAAAGGATTTCTATACCAGAATTATGAAAGACAGTGCAGGCATCTGCTGTGACACTGCTGTGAGCTCTGTTCATTGTCCTGTCCCATGTCGACCTGCAATGTGAACTTGGCACTAAGAGCCAAGTAACTTAAACTTGGCTAAATAAAGCAGTAGTAATTGTATTTACCTACCTCTGTCAAAAATTTTCGTACCTGCCTATGCAATGAGCTCAATGACTTGTAACATCCATCTCTTTTTGTGATTGAAGACTGTACCATTTTGCCTCTCTCCCCACCCTTTTTAACTGTGAATGAAAAGTCATATTCAACATTGCATTCTGCACCTCCAGATATATTTTGATTTGTTTAATTTCAGTCAAGTTTCATTGCAGCAAAATATCTTGTCTGAACCTATTCTGTATACTTATTCTACAGTAGGAGGTCATGGTGGTTTTACGTTCAAACCAGAAGGTCTGATTTTAGTCAGCCATCTCTGATAACTGTGCATCATTTTGGTATTGCTGTAAATGTGTATTTGTCTGTGATACTACTGCATATGCTGTATTTCAGGAAAAGCAGAGATTTCTGACAGATGTCCTACATGAAGTGATGTTGCTGGATGGGTTGGCCAGTTCACATCCAGTATCCCAGGAGGTGCAGCAAGCCACAGACATTGACAGGGTGTTTGACTGGATTGCCTATAAAAAGGTGAGACTAATTAAACTTATCTATCTTTTTATAATATAGATATGTAGCTATCAGAAGATCATATTCCATCTGTAAAACAAATACTGTTGTAAAACTACATACACTACAGTAGCTACTACTTGGAAAACCAATTTATGTGGAATATATTTGGAATATATTGTAGTGATTTTAGCCATTCAACATACCAAGTGTTATTAAATGTTATAAATAAACTTGAGAGGCTGTCAGAATCCAGCAAGAAGATTTAGTGCTTCTTATTACTATTTATTTTGTGACACTGTCTGAATTGTGCTAGATACTTTAAAAAGCATAAGGACATCTTTATCCTATTGAAACTCTCTAGAAAACTTGTCAAGGGCTAAAGCTAAATTTTTTTTTTGTTTTTTCTATGCACAAGAATTTTTCTGTCAGCTTGTGAAAACTCAAGTCATTGCTGAACAATGAGAATGGAGAAACTGCCTCCTGGGTTGGCAAAGGAATATGTATTAGATTCAGGCAATTTCCAATTTTATTTCACTGAATAGGAAGTCTTTTGGCCAGTTTTTGGACTGAACAGCTTCTGTGCAGAAGTGAGAGGGCTGCACACTTTCCCCTCCTCCATCACATGACTGGGCTTGCTGTTATCCTGTGGCCTGAAAGCTGGTGATTTCCATTATACTACATGCTTATTCTCTGCTACTGCCTGCAGCCTTCCCATAGGGAGCTCTCCAATGACAAGAATCATTTGACTATCACCTTTGCATCTGATAATCTTTTCTTCTGCATCATTAGCTGCCTAACAACAGACTGTAGCAAGACAGCAGCAGCATAGCACTGACATGGTGACTGAACCTCCGGTTTGTCCAGTGCTCATTCCAGACTAAAAAAGAGGTATATCCTCTCTTATAGTCATTCCTATAGAAACATTCCTGTAGAAACATTCCTAGACAGCAATAACTTCACCTTGATCCTCTGGATAAGGATCTTATGCCTTTTAGAATGGGCAAGAGTGTATGTGTGTACATGACCATGTAATAGGTCTACAATGTAATATACAAACCAAAAATACTTGGGGAAAGGTTTTAAAAGATTGGAGTCGCTCAAGAGCCCAAGTAACATTTTCAAAAATCCCTTGGCTAGCTTTGAAAACATTGTTCGTGGTCAATTAAGCTATAATAGCCAGCAGCTCTTAGCCTACTGAATGTTCTCGTTGTTTAAATGTTTCAATTATATGTTTGCTGGTGAACCTGGGTAGGTTCAGAGGCTTATCTCACATCAATATCTTAATATTTCAAGCTAATTATTTTTCTAATTAATATGATAATAGTAATATCACACAGTTAACACTAATACTTAACACTTCATCTTATGAACACTTTGCAAATGTTAAATAATTTTAATTTACATTGAAATGACAAAATAGGACAGTAGGACAGATCTGTGTACTGTTAGTTATTTCATGCAGGCTAATAAGTCTGTTTTCTGTGCAGATTACAGAACAATTTCTGTCTTGTGTCCTTGTTCCTTTTCCAGTGTAACAGGGGCCATCCCCAGTGGATAGAGCAGCATCTCCACTCAGCTCCACTGATGGCCACCTCCCAGACCTTAGGTGACAGTGAATGTATTCATAGAAAGGCATGATCCTGTAAATTTTGAACCCAGTTACCAGATCTGGCGAAACACCTTGGGGAATGGCAATGGAAGAATTTACTTACATACTTGCACAGGTGAAGAGGTTAAAATACCCACTCTTTCACTGATTTTCCTGTCTAATGGTTTGTCTTTCTGCTAGTTTCTGTAGCCATTCATCCTTTTGGTTTAGACACAAGCAAAATCTAATAGGAAGAAACTTTCCTGACTTGACTTTGTAGCTGCTCTTTTCACTGTTTCTATACCTTCCTCCAAACACCTGACACTGTTTCTGTCTGAGGATAAATTAGACCAAATTTAAGGTATTTTACATCTTCCATTGTTTCACTGCTATGTAACCTGGTATGCATGCATGCATTGCTTACATTTCAAGTATGAAAATTAAACTCATTTATTAGATATCTACAATATTTGCCTATTCTTCTAGCTCTCTAGTGTCTGCCAATATAAAATCCAAACTGTAAAATTATACTGAAGGCTTTCACCTGGTCAGGTATGTGCTTAATATTTTCAGGTGCCTCAAAGTTCTCCTTACACAATGAACCCTGCTGGAAGGGATAGTACTACTGGTGTTTCTGGAATGACTTTTTGGTTGTCTGTTGACTGATCTTTTAAATGACTGTAAAGTATTAAGTTCTTGGAAATCTTTTTCTGGTGACTCTAGTAAACTTTGAATCAGGACCATCAGTGAGGACTTTTCAACTGCCTTAAATCAAATGTCTTTTAGCAGTGTACCACTGTTGTGCAGTATCTTTCCCCTACATTTTGGAATTTTGTTTTTCATTCTCTTTAATTTTTTTTTAAATGTCCATCTTGTGCTCCCCAGGACTTTGGATTGTCCATATGATCTCTTTTCTCTTTTCACAGTTTTCTACATGATATTGAAATGATGAAACTTTCCCTATCTAATTTTTGTTCATTGAAATGACAGTCATAGAATGTCATTATCATTTCATTGTCTGTACTGTCATCAAGATGGCATAAATCAGTTAGACACCATTAAAGTGCCCATCTCTTTTAGACACTCAGCTGTCATTTTAAAGATATGCCTCTTTTTCTTTCTATACACTGAAGAAATGACCATTGCAAATGTGCTAATTAAATGCTTCAGAGCTGAATATATTTTTCATTTCCACTTTCTTGTCCTCGGTGATTGCACGTGACACAAACACCTGAAGAATGGCATTCAGGTAATCCCATAAGCAGAGTGCAGCCTGGCAGCACATGATGTTTTTCTACTAAAGCTGTTGAGGGTAATGCTTGCCTCTTTTAAAAGCATCATACTAGTCGTTCTTCAGATAGGAGCACATTATCCTCCATTAGGGTCACAAATATATAGAGAAAAATGTGAAGTCGCTGTAGTTCATTAATAAACAGTACTTGTAGATGATTCAAGGCTCTCAAGTTACATCAGAGAGTGGATATGTCTTCCTAGTGCAGCTGGAAGTGAGATAGTGTCCTCCCACAATGATGGGAAAAGTGTTTATATCCCAAGAGCAGTAGAAAATATAGCCTGTTGAACACAAGAGTGGATCTGAGGATTGTTAAATCAAAGCAAAAAGCGTGACAGCCTTTTCACACTAGAAATAACTGACAGCAGGAATCATAGCCCTGGAGAGCTGCAGCATCAGAGGAGGGAGTGCAGCAAGAAAAACATGAGGAGCAACAATCAGTGAGGAACAACCAGCTGTAATAAAATGGAGAAACAAGGCAGCTGCATCTCAAAGGGAGCAGCCAGACCCAGAGCAGCGTGTGGGAGAGAGATCCCAGACACAACTAAAGGAGTCATAGCGCTAGATGAGCAGCCACAGCCAGATAAGGGAAGGGATGAAAGGACTTGTAGAGAGCCAGATATCTGAAGTTGTTTCTATCAGCCTGCTGGATGCTTTGAAGGGTGTTGGTTGAAGACTCTGGCAGCAATTAGAGCAGGCAGGACCAATACAATGGAGTGCAACTGTAAAAGTACCCCCAGTAGAATATGTCTTGGCAAGTGACAAACAATAATCAAAACAAGGAAGAAGATGACTGGAATAGGGAAGAATATTAATTTTTTTCCTTCTGTAAGCAAAGTGAATCTCAACAGTGAGATCAGTTACTGGCTCTGACTTTATAATGCAAACAATTATTTATTTCCTAAACCTCTCTCTCTCTATAATTTCCTTTTCCCACTTAACTCTATACCACTTCTTTAAAAATGCTTTTTCCTGCTTTCTATGTCAAGTGATGGAAGGAAGATATACTTCTGATAGTAATAGAGGGAGACCATGCTCCCTGCCTCCCCTCTAAAGCAACACTCTGCATTAGAAAATCTGTTCAACTAAAAGTTTACACAGAGAAAAATGCTTGGCTTCCTGTATATTGCAATAACAATATAGAGTTCTGGCAAAGGAGAATTTAAGAAATTGAAAGCAGTGACTTGCTCACCCTTTTGAGTGTAATTCTCTCTGAAAATTTACAGCATAGCATGTTCTGCAAGAATGTGGAACAACAGTAGGGCTAATGCAGTCACTAGAAGGGCTCTCCAAAAACTTCATTCTTTTTACTTCTATTCCTCAGGCACTAGGAAGGATATTGGCACTGTAATAAAAAAATAAAACAAAAAGAACTCCCATTCCAAACATTTATTCTGTCCAGTAAAACCAGAAATATTAGTTTGTAAGAAAGCCCATTCATGAGTGCAATGAAATTGTGATGATGTGCATCTATGAAGTGACTACAGAAAAGGGAGAGTAGCTCATTAACAGTGAAAAAAATCCTAGATAAATGCATATAAATAGCAAAATAGGTTCTATTTTTAACTTTTCACTTAATTAAATCAATAATATAAGATAGTATCCAGTTAGTTAAGTCTTAAAATACAGCACAGATGACTTTAGAACCCACTCTCTTACTGCAGTATAAAGGGAGAGCTTTTTGTTCTCCTTAATTTAGCCGTGATGTTGTCTGTGAATGCCATTAACTTCTGGGTGCACATTCACCTGATGCTGATTTCTCTTCCATGACTTGTGAGTGCAACAGGTCAGTGCCCAGATTGCAGAAGGTGCTTTCAGGAGCCATTTGTTCCTAATGCATTGTAACAGAGTAGGTATCTTGTAATGAAAATAATGTCTTTCTGTTTAGATAAAAGGCTGCAGGTTGTTACTACTTCCAATATGAAAGTCATCGAAACTCAATCAGTGAAACCTATAGGTTCAAGTTCAGAGCAGCCCCAAGAGTACCTGGCTTAAAGTATACAGGCCGTCCCAGTCCAACCAGTGGGTGCCAGTACATAAAGCTAGGCAGGTGCTTCAAGATACTTAAAATACCTCTCTTCAGCCATCTGCACACCTTCTTGACTCAAACAGGAAAAACTGTCATTAACCCTTTACACT